TCACCGTTGTCATGGGAACAGATTGATAGGCTCATAAAGAGAAGAAGACGACTGAGGAGGAGGATGTCAGGTTAAAGAATAAATGAAAACGAAGCAAATAACAGCAGAAGATTACACACAGTTTTTAAATGGTGTATTAAATTAATTTGTGGGATTGCTATTTTTGATGTTCTGATTTATTTTTTTTCATGCTGTTGAGATGATGATGTTTAGCGTTAAATGGCCAAATAAGCAAAATCAAATAAACACGTGAGGGGACTGTTGCCATTACTTACCTGAGTTTGCAGATAACCTTCAGATTCATAGTATTTATATGGAGGGAGAAGAGATAAATAAAAGAGATAAATGCTACCAAGGGAAGTCAGAAAAATTGATTATTTTTCATCATGACTTGAACGTGCCCTCCGCATCTCTCCTTGCTTCCTTACTCCCTTCATTTTGCTCCCATATTTCGGGTTCTCATCATCTTCCCTGTTCCACCCCACCCCACCTCACTGAAAAGCTTTTAGATGATTAAAACGCAACAGAGTGGGGTTTTCATATTGTTACAGTTCACTTTCAGTGTGCCTCTGAAAGTGCCGATAGCATCTATTTGAAACATAGTGCACTAGGTTTTTCACTTCAGGGCAGAATATTTCATCAAATCTCAGAGGTGTGTTAGAGAGGAAACACAGCTGAAGGTCACAGGCACCAAAAACGAGCTACATCTAACTCATAATTGAGTTAAACTAATCAACACGCATTTACAGAAAAAAATAGTATTTCGAAGGTTATTAGCAGATAGCATAGTGGAGAATGCACCTAGGTCAGACATAAAAGGGAGTTTCACCTGCCAGCATAGTTCTCATTTTTCCCTGGAACACTGACCCTCCTCTGCTGATTTATATGCTGGTTGCTGCATGCTTTAAACCTTTAAACATCCTGGCAAACAAGAGTCAGTGTACAGCCATGGTAGCAGGTCTGTGAGACTGGATGTAGGCACAGTGATGCTTTGAGCCAAAACGTCAGCATGCTAACACGCTGACAGTTATGTGTACTGTCATGATCATTATAGTTTAGTGTTAGCATGCTAACATTTGCTAAATAGTACTCAACACAAAGAAAGCACCAGGGCGGTGGAAAGGTCATTAAATTGCAGCTATTTTGTCCTAGAACGTCTGGGCATTTCTAATTAGACTAACTTATCCTGAATTTAATATATATGGCATACATGGAGCTAAAACATGCAGTGACTCTGCACATGTAATCAAAAATAAAAAAGAAAAAAACAGAGCAAAAGCATTCCAAGATGTTTTGAGTGTTTCAGACTGTGGCTTTAGTAATCACAGACTTTTGTGTTTGCTCATCACACTGGTGCTGCACTTGAGTGTTTCAGACTGTGGCTTTAGTAAACACAGACTTTTGTGTTTGCTCATTACACTGGTCATTTTTTAATGAAAATTCAATAAAACCTTTTTTTTTTCCATTTTCTTACATCTGAAGCATCAGAATCAGAATCGGCTTTATTGGCCAGGCGTGTCGGACACACGAGGAATTTGACTGTGGTACATCGGCTCTCAATGTGCATGTACATATCCCCATGCAAGTAAACAGTAAACCAGCATAAGGCTGTGCAGTATAACACAATAAACAGCATTAACAAGCAACAAACTGTGCAAACAATGCAAAATAAACAGTATAAACGATGCAGACAGACAAAGGAATGCTCATTGTGAAACGCTCACTTAAAAACTGCATCTTTGCTTCATAAAATGAGCTGTTCAAAGATCTAGAAACAGAGCAGTCTGTAGTGGAGGGTTGTCGAAGGATGTAGGTTGGATCAGATATGTTAAATGATGCTGCTTTTAATTATTTGCACTATTATTATTTGTGGCTACTGTGGTCACACTGCTGTAATTATTCTCAGCTGCAGTTGTTTTTTTATGACTTTACTGCAAATATGCTTCTGTGTGGAGAATCTGTTGAGGCAGCGGTGCAGTTTGTGTGGAAGTAATCTTATCCCCTTTCTCTCTCTCTCTCTTTCTTTGAGACACACACACAAACACACACATGCATGGACCCTTCGCTGTCACACAGTTGACAGATTGAGGAGGTGGAGCTTAAACTACCCAGTCTGACCCTGGCAATGACATGATGCTGATGCAACAGTGTGTGTATGAGTTGTTTAAGACCTAACCGATGACTCACTGATAGCTTGCGGTTTAACATGTACTGAGGACCAGATTAATGCTTTTATACGTTTAGGGGTTTTTTTTTGTTTGTTTTGTTTATTTATGTCCACAATTTGCAACAGCAGCTACACAGGCAGAAATGCACTCACACAAAATGACACCACATTTAAAATGAGGATGATGACTGTGTGCCTTGTCCTGCTCCTTCCAAATGCTGCTGTCATATCCTGTAAATACGAGTGTACCATCTGTCCACCCTGCCTCTCTGCCTCTCAGCTGAGCTCCGGAGTGAGCAGTGATCTAGTTTTCAAAATCTCTTCTAAAGTCTGGCCAGAGTCGCACACCTAGTGTTGTCCTGACCTCAGTTAAAATGTCTTCAGTTTTGATGAGTGAGGTCCAGGATTGTCAGGGACAATGTAGCTTTTTGAAACAATGCTGCATAATTTACAAATTAGTCAGCCCGCAGTGAAAACATGAGCATATTCTTCATTTGGTTTGTGAAAAATGACCTGTGTCTTGTTAACGTTGTGTATTTATGATGTTGCCCAGATTTTGCATCATATCTAAGGAAACAGTGTTGTAGAGATTTTTCTCTAAGTGCCTAGTGAATAACCTCTTAACTGGCTTTACTATATGTGTGTCTGTATAACACCAATACAAATGTTGTCTAAACTGCGACCAGTGACTGTGGTCACACCTCTGTTATCTCTACTGTAGCATTTCTGAAAGCTGCTGTCATGTTGTGATTTCTGTGCTGTTTGTGTTGTTGTTGTTTTCCTTTTTTGTTTTATTATTTCAACTTATGTTTGTGGCGACATTGTTAGCAGTTGACATCCCAGATAATGCTGGTAAGTTGTTTGCTCATGGCTGGCTTGCTCAGCTCAGATTGCTACACTGTTTGGAGTTTAGTTTGTTTTGTTGGATGGTGGTGATGCTGTCATATAACATTTTTTTTTTTTTGGGTGAAGTATGCCACTGTGCAGCCATCATACCACCTGAACATCTGAACCCTGTTGCCATGAGTCACAACAGATGGTCGCTTTCTATAAGCACCTTCCCTTCACTGTCTCACCGACATTGTGAGCTTGTTCCCGTCCCAAAGTCCTGCCTTGCCATTCTTCTTTCAGCACATAACATGGCTGTCAGTAGATTCACCTGCGTTGCTACAGTATGACCTGACTGTATGCATGATGAGGAGGAGTCTTTACACTGGTTCACACCAGATTCCAGGGGGTGATGGCACTCAAGAACAAGCTGCTGTCTAATCAGAACATTCAGACATGGATTATTGTCCTCAAAGCAGTTGTGAGAAAACAAGTCTTGTAGGCTGTCACAAGCGTGGTACAGTAATGGGAGGGGTGACAATCAGATCATGCCATCACCTCATGAGATCTTGTTAACTTGGTGAAATCAGCTGTAAATATGGTTGTAACATGCATAGTGCAATGTGACTGAGAGGAAGGTTGACACCCTTTTCACACGTGAACCTGTCATACTGTCATGCTAACATTTTCCTCTTTCACACTATTGGTTTACTGTTTAGCTGTAAAATCCCCTTATAGAGCTGTTATTCTCTGAGTAAAACAAAAAACAAACATGATGAACATCAGTCTTAAGCTTTACCCAAGACTCTTCAGTATATTTAAACCAACTATTTAGACATTCTTTAAGAAAACCTTTACATTTCTTTATACTCCAAGCTGTTTGTGAGGGAAATATAAACTACAGTAAAAAGTAGTTTCTCAGTTATAGTTCTGATTTTAGGTGCCCTGGTTTTGAGATGTCCACTTTGTAATACTCTAAGAAAATGTGAACATTTCTCTCCAGTAACAGTGTCTCGGTTCCTTTGTGTAATCATCATCACTGGAAAGATTTCAGCAGAACTTGAATCTGCCAAACAAATAGTCCCAGTGAAAATGGGAATGTTTCAGGTACCAGAGGGGTCGTTAGTTAGTGACCAAGACAAAGTGTTAAGGTATAGATACCACAGGAGGTAATGGGGGATTTTATTATTATTTCCCCAATTGTGAATATCCTTTGTTCATAGTAGCAGTTTGAAGTTTCTAAGTCCCAGAGATTGTAGTAGGTTTTGAAGAGGAACATTGGTGGGTGAGCTTTTCAGGAATATGGACCAACTCCTGTTCCAACATCAAAAAAATGACGTATATGAAAGGGACAGTGTCAGACTGCAGGAATTAGTTAATGCAGCACAGTGTTTGTTAGGCCAGTATGTACTGTGAGAATTATTTTTATATCTGCCTAGTGTATGTGTTAATCCCAGTCCTGTTCTAGTCTAATACATCTGCTGCTGTGAAATGACTTTTGTATCATGACTCGGAGGCAGGTTTTCCATTACTTTCTGCCTGTAACATTTCTCCACCAGTCTGGGTGTCACTCAAGCTTTGAAGAATGGCCTTTATTGAGAGCATATACAGTAGAGGAAATGCTGCATGAGGAGCTGAAGCCATCTCATTTCAGTCCCACCTTAAGGCATTCAGAACTGCAGCTTTTCATTTTAGTCATTTTATGGAGCGAATACACAGTAGTCAGGCTTTGTCATTGCAGACTGATTGGGGTGAAAAGCAATTTTCTCCTTTAAAAATGTTTGTGTATCTGGCAGCAAAATGAGAACACACCTGAATATGTACATCCTCCACATACTCATTGTATACATGACTGATGATGAAGTCATGATGATAGGCTGTCATGCTGCAGTAAGAACATGTAGGCTAACATTTACTTTTTTCTTCCCACTTTCTGCCTCTTTTCTCTCTGTCCTTGCTCTTATCATCTCTCTTTATCTCTGTGCGCCTCTTCCCGTTTCCCCAGTCCACTCCACTTCACCTGGCAGCAGGATACAACAGGGTGAGGATAGTTCAGCTGTTACTACAGCATGGAGCAGATGTTCACGCCAAGGACAAGGGGTAAGTATGAATAAATAAGTCAAATTAAAGTTTAAAGAACACATTTTAAATGTTTCCAAATTTTGATCTACTGTTCTCACAACAGACTTGGACAGTAGGCTTTTTAAGTAGGTTAGGAAATGATCATCATCTGTGCAGTAGATCCCTGACACATCGAGAATCTGTTCACCTGACTGGATGAACACATCCGCAAGTTGACTCTTTTTTTTCCCCAACCTTAAAAAGCATGACACTCATTCTGAAGTATACATAAGAATTGACTTCTGAATAAATTCCATTCAGTTTTGTACAGATGTTCACAACTCTCAGAGGATGAACCTTAATGACTTTGGTGATCATCTGACTTTTCATCTAGCACCACCTGGTTCACATTTGCATTTTTCAGTGAAATGTATGAACAACCCATTGGCTAGATTATGATGAAATTCAGTATTCACATTCATGTCCTAAGGATGAAGTATCAAAACTTCATCCCTTAACTTTGCACCATCATCAGATCTAAGTTTAAATTTGTCTAATACTTTGGTCTTTAACCAACTACCTGCAAAACTAATGACATTCCCATCAGCTTCAGTTGTTTTTTGTACTTAGAGAATGAGTTTATTAAGAATTGTTAACATGTATATTTATTCTAGAATGTTGTTTTGTGTTTGGCTTCTCCAGTGGTCTGGTGCCTCTGCATAATGCCTGCTCCTATGGGCACTATGAAGTTACGGAGCTGCTGCTAAAGGTACACACACATATTGGCTCAGTACTGACCCAGGCACTGGGACTGACCATCAACTGAAACGATTATCCATTGTTCCACTGTATTTTCTTTCATTAAAAACAAGATGTATATCAACCCTGCAACATTCTTGAACAATGTTTGTAAGGACTGACTACTTCAAAGAAAACTCTTTCTAACAATGACATATCTGCTCTGTTTGCTTCCTCATTACTTGTTTTGTTTTTAAGCACGGAGCATGTGTTAATGCCATGGATCTATGGCAGTTCACCCCTCTCCATGAAGCGGCGTCTAAAAACCGAGTGGAGGTCTGCTCCCTGCTGCTGAGCCACGGGGCCGACCCGACTCTGCTCAACTGCCACAGCAAGAGCTCTGTGGACATGGCACCTACTCCCGAGCTGAAGGAGAGACTTACATGTGAGTGTGAAGCTTAATTTACATAAACACCGTTAAATGTGACATGGTGCTGAATTAAGGAATAGGCCGTCTTAGAAAGGGTATAATTACTCCAGTCATGTTTGGAGCAGTTGATTTGAACTCATTCGAGTGTTGAAACATTTGAAAGTGTAAACCTCAGTTTTTTTGACAAGAGAACTGTTCATGTATGAAGCGAAATATACTGTAGCTAACATCCAGTAGTTACCAGTTCCGTGTACATGGAAGTGAACAAAATGTTCCCTTATGGAACAAGTTTCCATAAGTCTCCCTCTCTCTGAATTTCATTACTTTGCACTACGGTGTAAAACAGAGGGTGCTACCAAATCTGGCACTGGTGCCACCATTTGAGAGTCTTGTTGGCACCAGTCCCGCCAGTATGAAATGTTAGTCTGGAGCCCTGTTTAGGACAGTGATGGCATTTTTGTGGTTTCACAAACACATTAAGACAATGTTTTTTCCCTTTTTTTCTGAGAAGGCCACCTTTTTTGACAGTTTTTGCATTTTACCTTACTGTTCATTTTGAACTGACATCAATATGTTTACTTGGAAAGAGAATATGTTATTTTTGGTATTTCCATTGCAAGTTTGGTCTTTAATTTCATTTAAAGTGGTATTAAAATGGTCTTAAAAAATCATAAATTTAACTTTTGTATCACTGTAGACACCCTGCGAGTGTGATGTCAGTGTGTTGCTCACATCATTTGTCTAAATGTCTGATTATAAATGCATGAATGCTGTTCCTCAGTCAGTAGACAGACATGAATCTGCTCCTTTAATTCAGCCTGAAATGTGTCTGAAGCAGTAAAGTTTGTTGTAATTTTCAGTCCCTGGGGAATAATCACTTGTTTCCGCTCCACATCCACAACACAGACTGTTGCATCATGTGTTAGCTCGCTGGTAGACTTTGAAGCAATATTTTTGAAGTATCGGTATGTTGCAGGGTCATTGCAAATGAAAATATGTTTGGATGAGAGCTTTATAACTCCTGTTTTTCAATTATTTGAAGCATCAGGTGCTCCTGTGTAGATTTAGATATTTTTTCAACCTTTGGGTTTGTAGAAAACCTCTCAAGATTAACTTGAAATGTCATAGTCGTCAAACTGAAGCTGAGGTCATCTTCTCTGTTCTTGACATGTTGACATGTTGTGTGTTTAGATGAGTTTAAGGGCCACTCACTGCTTCAAGCCGCTCGAGAAGCTGACATGACCAAGGCTAAGAAGACCCTGGCACTGGAGATCATCAACTTCAAACACCCGCACACATACGAGACCGCACTGGTAAGATAAACACACAAACATACTGCATTCATAAATGTGTACACTGGCACCAAGTTGCTAAGACAGTGTTTTTTTGTGTGTTAGCATTGTGCAGTAGCATCACCACACCCCAAGAGGAAACAGGTGACAGAGCTGCTGTTGAGGAAGGGTGCAAATGTCAATGAGAAGAATAAAGAGTGAGTACTACTGTCGCAAAATATGAGATCGTTCTTTATATTTGTATGCAAAGAACACACTGTCAACAAAATGCTATAACATGTACATGTGATTGGAGGCTGATACCAAAGCGCCCCCAGGAGCAGTGCGTAGTGGCCAAACCACGTCACTACAGCTTCTTCATTCATCACATGCTGTATCCTGGCCCAAAAAGGCATTTTTCCCATAGGGAGTCAATGATAAAGGAACAACTGTAAAATGGTGCATACATTTTTCCAAACATCACAAACACAGAGAAATTAATCTTCTTATCAAAAGTTGATGCATTGGATCCAATATTACTTTGAGAGTCTAAAAGAGCCTTAGGATATATTTAATTTATCCCATTTGTGTGTGTGAAGAACCACCCAGAAGTCAGCCGGCTTGACATTAGTGAGCTTGCTATATGGTGATACCAGTATTTTCGGAACAGAAGATGCCATTAAGTGGAACTTACTTTTTTAACTGAATTGTGTTTCTTAATATAATCTAATAAAAAAAGCCACTGCAAGCCTTACCACTAGATAAGCAGGGTCTTATAATGGCCTACTGTGTGCATTTATTTAAATAAACACAATAAAAACCAATGTCCCCTTTACACTGTTCTGTCTCTTTCTCTCTCTGCAGTTTCATGACTCCTCTCCATGTAGCAGCAGAACGTGCTCATAACGACATCATGGAGGTGTTACAGAAACATGGTGCCAAGGTAAACCACAGTCATTTTTACATGCACTTTGCCATGTATCATCTGTCATTTCTTTCATATATTTAGTTTTATCTTTATCTATTTTTATTTCCCTTGATCTCTGCCTTAATCCTTTAAACATGATTATAACCATTGTACATGTATCTGCTTTTTTATACATGCATACAGTATAAATACATCACAGATAGTTTGTGTGTGTGTCTTGGTGCATCGCTCTCATTACCATGAAATGCGATTGCTGTTAAATGTGTTTGCAGTCAGAAACATCACCATTAAACATTGTTTTTTTTTGTGTGTCAGACTCAGCAATTGTTTATTTATAGAGCTGCCATTTTGGTTTAACTGTCATACAGGGGTAATTTTCACTGTAGAAGGAGTACAGATTTTTACAGGCAAAAAGTAGACCAGTATGCAATGCAGCAACAATACCCTTGTTTTGCAGTAAAAGTGCTGACTCATCACATATTTCTACGTAAATGTGCTCATCTACTGGTACTAACCACATGTACATGTAATGTCCCTAATCTGCAGCTGAATGTGAGGAAGAATGTGGGATCCATACAAAGTTGTTTGTGTTTGTAGGTGAATGCCCTTGACACGCTGGGTCAGACAGCATTGCACCGTGCGGCACTGGCAGGCCACCTTCAGACCTGCAGACTGTTGCTAGGATACGGGGCAGACGCCTCACTGGTGTCGCTGCAGGGCTTCACTGCTGCTCAAATGGGAAATGAAGCTGTTCAGCAAATACTCAGTGGTATGCCATCCTGTGTCTGTGTGCCTGCTCACATTGTGGGGACTGGGACTTTGAGTATTTTGAAGCCTTCGTTGGTTAACGTCTACGTTACTAGCTCCTACTCCTCCCTGCCTGATGCATATTACTGTGTTTCTTGGCACACTATTTGTTGATTAGTAGAGGTATGCGAAACCATTGGCAGGAATATGTATTGTACGTCACCAGTGTGCTTGTGCAGTAAACAAACCAGAATTTCAACCAACCATCAACAAACAGGCAGTGTATTGAAACTTTTAGATTAGATATGTGCCAACACAATAAAGGAAAGAGGTAATAATGTATAAAAGTAATTATTGTTATTGAGGTAAATGTG